GTCCGTCGTTCGTCGTCCGTGTCAATGTTTTACTTTTTCGACTTCTTATTGAAAACTACAAGCCTGAATGCTTTGATACTTGGTGTATATGTGCCTTAGGTAGACCTCTCTTAGGTTTGTTCATTTCATGTTGATATCTTCAATTCTCTAATTTTGGTGAATATTTTTGTCATTTTTGGTAAAAAGTGATATTTTCGACTTCTGATTAAAAACCGCAATTGCTTTGATATTACATATATAGGTACTACATGTGGACCTCTCTCAGATTTGTTCATTTCGTGATGATATCTTCGATTCTCTAATTTTGGTGAATATTTTTGTCATTTTTGGTGGAAAGTGATATTTTCGACTTCTTGTTAAAAACCAATAGTTCAATTGCTTTGATATTACATATATATATAGATACTACATGTAGACCTTTCTCAGATTTGTTCATTTCGTGATGATATCTTCGATTCTTTAATTTTGGTGAATATTTTTGTCATTTTTGGTGGAAAGTGATATTTTCGACTTCTTGTTAAAAACTGTAAGTACGATTGCTTTGATACTATACATATTGTTAATTTTCTAATGATGTCTTCAGTTCTTTAATTGAAATGTGCATTGCTAACAGCGGAGCTATCTCAGCCGATAGGCTGCTTGTTTTGTAATTTTTGGTAAAAAGTGATACAGTATATTTTCAACTTCTTTTTAAAAACCGCAAGTGCAATTGCTTTGATATTACATATATAGGTACTACATGTTGACCTCTCTTAGATTTGTTCATTTTGTAATGATATCTTTAATTCTCTAATTTTGGTGAATATTTTTGTCATTTTTGGTAAAAAGTGATACTTTCGACTTCTTGTTAAAAACCGCAAGTCCAATTGCTTTGATACTACATATATAGGTACTACATGTGGACCTCTCTCAGATTTGTTCATTTCGTGATGATATCTTCAATTCTCTAATTTTGGTGAATATTTTTGTAATTTTTGGTAAAAAGTGATATTTTCGACTTCTTGTTAAAAACCGCAAGTCCGATTGCTTTGATATTACATATATAGGTACTACATGTCGACCTCTCTCAGATTTGTTCATTTTGTGATGATATCTTCAATTCTCTAATTTTGGTGAATATTTTTGTCATTTTTGGTAAAATGTGATATTTTCGACTTCTTGTTAAAAACCAATAGTTCAATTGCTTTGATATTACATATATAGATACTACATGTAGATCATTCTCAGATTTGTTAATTTCGTGATGATATCTTCAATTCTCTAATTTTAGTGAATATTTTTGTCATTTTTGCTAAAAAGTGATATTTTTGACTTCTTGTTAAAAACAGCAAGTCCGATTGCTTTGATATTACATATATAGGTACTACATGTAGACCTCTCTCAGATTTGTTCATTTTGTGATGATATCTTCAAATCTCTAATTTTGGTGAATATTTTTGTAATTTTTGGTAAAAAGTGATATTTTCGACTTCTTGTTAAAAACCAAAAGTTCAATTGCTTTGATATTGCATACAATGTATATAGATACTACATGTAGACCTTTCTCAGATTTGTTCATTTCGTGATGATATCTTCAATTCCCTAATTTTGGTGTATATTTTTGTCATTTTTGGTAGAAAGTGATATTTTTGACTTCTTGTTAAAAACTGTAAGTCCGATTGCTTTGATACTATACATATTGTTCATTCTCTAATGATGTCTTCAGTTCTTTAATTGAAATGTGCATTGCTAACAGCGGAGCTATCTCAGCCAATAGGCTGCTTGTTTAA